GCCAGGTCTTAAGAGTGATATGGCCAGAAATGGATATGAGCTTTTCAGATTTCCACTCCATGACCTTAATCACAGCTCCTGCAGATTTAGTTGAACTTGTGTGGTTAGTGCATGATTAGCTGGGTATATGGTCGCTGTTGTGGAATTTTTGAAGAGGCTGAAGGAGGATGTGGAACCCAACACATAGTTACACATCGGAGACTCAGGTGACTCAGGTTGAAATAAAGTTTACTGATATCAGGAGAAGTGACACTACCAGAGCAGCGGTTCACGCATGCAAGGCCAGCATCAATTCTGAGGATTCTCTCGCACCTTCGGTCGTATACCGTCCTTCGATGTGGACCATATCTAGATTTATGGATGTGAGGAAAACAAAGACAGTCTGGTGCCTTGGTGCAATCTGGCCTTGCGGGGCACAGAGAGTGTTTGCCTGTCCTACAGATCTACATGAGGTCAAGGAGCTATAGAAGATTTGCAGATTAGCACACATCTGCTATAGATGCGACCTTTACTTGGGGAGGTCAAGAGAGGAGTTAAGGGTAAAGGTTTAGTACCATCTCTAGAAACTTAACCCCAGAGAGGAAAGTCATTTTTCCTTCACAGTCGATACAAACTCTGACACGTTAACTCAAAGGCAAAGGCCCAGTTCACAAACCTCTTAATCCTGGTTTTCTTATTCTGACTCTCCTCTGAAGTTGGAATTTGCATGTCAGTCTCTTTGATGTTCTCTTAAGATGTTGGTTTATTCAACATGCTTTCTTAATCCATTGTGCTGTATTTTGTGTACAAACTAAGTTACAACTCCAAGATGCATAGAGCGCCCAATGAACGTCATCCTAATTGTGTCACAACCAGTCGCGCTTTGCTTCGGTCAGGTGAGGCAGAAAAGTTTGGATTGCGCTGGTCTTAATTTATCTGATGACGCAAGCTGTACGATGCTTACGAAAAGCAGATCATATGTCAAAATAATAATATTAACGATATAAAATCATCAGGTCTAAGGAAAGTCACAAGAACACATCTTTTAAAGCATTAACAGATAAAAAGTTGGCCTTTGCCTGAGTGTGGACAAAGACATGACTCACCTGATCTTATAGTTTCTATGTTGTTAAATCTGATGTTGTTTTATTTCATTTCTATGACTTCTATATGTAATCTGTGAAGTTTTTAATTATATTTTGGTTTTACTTTATTTTTATGGGTTTTTTTTAATCTGTTTTATCTACTTGCATTTTTTAACTCTCTACTTCGGTCTTAATATCAGCTTATCAGCCATGTGTGGGTCAATTTAAACTGTACCGAGGTGTACGAAAGGCGATATACAAAAAAAAGTTTGTTTGATTGATCAACTGATTGAACAAGCTTTGTGAACGACTGCCTTAAAGCCTGCCAAACATTTCTATTACTCTAATTTCACAACAACGCAAATAGTGTCTACAATAAAAAAAACAACTTGCTTTACTGTGACCAGTGTGAAAATTCAGCCCAACAGACACACAGTAAAAAAAACACTGTGAAGACGACAGTGAGACTTTCTCTTGTTTTTATCTTGTAAAGATTCTTTTTCAGCAGCTCACTCTTTTTTAAACAACCTCTGTTTTCACTACACTAAAATGATTCTTTACAAAAGAGACACGATGATCCTCACTGGGCTCAATAAAAGCCATGCAGACAAGTTTACAAGATAAACAGAGAACAGGAGAAGAACTGAAAACCTATAAAACATCAGCTGTTCTTAGCTGAACACAATAAAAATAACTCAACTTTACTGAAAACACCAAAGCATTTCAACTGACTATATGCTAATGTGCTCTGTTTACAGCAGGCATTGATTCTGGTCACTGAAATGAAGTGTTGTTCTCATGCAAAGTGTGAACAAGAAGGCATCACTGCATAGTTTCTAGAAAACACCCCAATAAATTACCTTAAGATAGAAAGACTCAGAAGTAAAACCCCAAAAACTCACCTGTCATGCCCAACAAGATGGTGACCACGACCTTCCCCGCCGTGGTGATCAAGTTCCCGATGATCTCCTTCACTTTGGAGGCGACCTCCGCCACGATCCGCAGAACCTTCATCTTGGCGCTCTCCTTCGCCTCTTCCTCCTCCTCCTCTTCCTCGTCCTCGTCCTCCTCGTCGTACAGCTCCTCGTCGTCCTCGTCCTCCTCGGCTTCGTACCCGGCTTCAAAGTCCTCCTCCAGCAGGATGTTGTCGTCCAGGCTCAGCTTCTCCTCGTCCTCCTCAAACATGGATCACAGTGAATAGATTTCAGTATTGAGCGATGAACGGTGCAGTTTGGAAGGTCAGCGCTCTCCAAGGTGCTGAAAACTGTCTCCAACAGGTAGCGTTAGCAGAAAAATGAAATGTTTTACAAAGGAACCTCAGCATGTTTAGCATGTAGCACATTTAAGCACATATGTGGCTGCTTGTGACATTATTAGCAATGTTAGCCACGTTAGCTCGAGATCCAACCCAGTCAGTTCTTCCATGGCTGCTGCATCTGACAAACTACGTGTCCCTCTTCTCCTACTGTCTCAGCAAACAAATATAACAAACGGACACTTGACAAAGAAAGCAGCAGATGCCACAAATCCTGTTTTGAACCAAACCGTACTTAGAGCTGAATGTAAAGCGGCCACTATAGATGGTGTTTCTCAGTAATGGGAGGCGGTGCCATCTGCGCCGGCTTGAGCAGTCAAACGAAGTGAAAGTGAATGTGGATTTAATTAACACCGAGTCATAAAGAGAAGGGAGGGCTTGCCAGGGGATGGGGGCTGTTTTCCAAGTCATCAACACTCGCAGGGAACTCTGTAGTCAAACTCCTCAGATCCTCTCAGCTTATAAAGCTCAGTGTCGACAATATGTTGCGCATAAAGCTGGACGGGAGACCACCCGCTCTACTGGCTGCAAAAAAATGAGCTGAAAAATGCATCACAATGATATGGAAACTGGTGCCAGAGGGTGAAGTTTAACATCTCAGAGAGCTGAGCTGATCATAGTCTGAAAAAGCTTTTCCAGATCTCTAAAATAGGTGAATGCACAGATGTTTACACGACAGTTTGTTTAGCTCAGATGTTCATCCAACCAGGTTGAGAAATTTCCTTTTTTATTCATGAGAACATGATTCTGATCAAGACTTTTTTATTCTTCACTGAAGTTTTACAGACATAAAGGTCGGTCTGTACAGTTTTCCAGATGGTTTTAGTTGTTTATTGTAACACACACCGTAAACCACATCTTCACATTTTTTGTGTTACTACTTCAAATAACAGTGGAAACCATAAGTCAGTTAATCAGTCAGTCCCGTAGTTCCCAACCTCTTCAAAATACATCATCCTCTCAAAGTGATTTCTATCAAGGCATCCCATCTTTTGGCTTCTCTGCATCACTTTCTCTAAAAACTGAAACGGAAAACGTATGTGCCAAGCATGACTGTCGTTTCATCATTTGCATACAGGCTTAATTACATGTTTTCAGCTTTTATTTCTGCTGCTGAAGTCTGAACACAACAGAAACATTTAGTCAATGTAAATAAACGCTGCTCGGTTTTTATGAAGTAAAACATAATTAAAAATGTACAATAAAATGAAAAATAAATTAAATCAGATCATTAAGTCCCACCACAGCTGGATTAACCCTCCAAACCCCAAAACCTTCCAACAAGTTCAAAAGACATGTTTTCTTTAAAAACGTGCAAAGTTTCACCATTTATCAGAGCCAGAATCCATAAAACCAGAAGAAACTGTCAGAGCTTAACTTTCTAACAGTCCTTGTGTCGTTCTGTCAGGAAACCCAGCAAATCTTAAAATTGATATATTTAATTAAAATCTACGGAAGCCGAGAGCGGTCGTTTTTCGCTGCTGTTCTTTCTTCGCCGTTTTCTCGAGATAACGAGGTAATTTTCTCGTTATCTCGTGAAAACATGATAATTTATCTCGAGAAAACCAACTTCGTTCAGCCTGTGTCAGACCTCGAGAGAAGTAAAGTCTGATGCGTTCATCAATGACAGATGATCCTCGATCTGACATTTTCAGTCCGTTCTCGGCGAAGTCACTGCTGCACTCCAGAGCGTCACTCGTTTCTTTGTAAACACAAGCATCAGTATCCAGGGATAATTATCTCATTATCTCGAGAAAACGGTGTTCGTTTTCTCGAGATAGCGGGATAATTATCTTGAGAAAACAGCCCCATTTCCTCCAGATAACGGAATAACTATCTCGTTATCTCGAGAATATGCCGTTTAAAAAAATGTGCGACCATGACCGCTCTCGGCTTCCATAAAAATCACTTTATTCCACATCTCATTTACAAATTTGCCAAAACAAAAAACTATTTGCTCTAACCAGATTCTGTAGATAAACAACAAACTCTTGTCAAAACCAGGAAGACATAAGTGACTCAGCTGTGACCAACAGTCACATAAAAATAATCGGAGGAACTTTTCAGCTGAACTGCAGGCTGTGTTTATCCATAGCAGACAGGAGACAAGTATAAAAACAAACTATAAACAGTAAAAAGTAGTATGTAGTGTACGTAGAGTCATCATTTTTTATGTATTAGTGCAGGGGTGTTGAAATCTGGTCCTCGAGGGCCGCAATCCTGCAAGTTTTAGATGTGTCCCTCTTCCAACACCCCTGATTCAAATGATCAGCTCATCATGAAGCTCTGCAGAAGCCTGATAACGATCCTGATCATGTGAATCAAGTGTGTTGGAAGAAGGAAACATCTAAAACATGCAGGATTGCGGCCCTCGAGGATCAGGATTGGACACCCCTTATTAGTGTGTCACGTTGCACATGAAGACATTTTGAAGTTCTCTCTACTTCTAGCCAAAAACAACGCCCAGAAGCTGCCTGGAGTTCAGAGGGTTAAATGTGAAGAAGCTTTTGCTGAATCACCTTTTTTGTTTTGTTTTTTCAAATGCAGGTACTTGAAATATATAATTTAAGAGATTTCCATATTTTTCCCTTTTGAAGGATTTACAGCATTCTAACTGCGACACAGTGTTTTCTTAGAGATGCAGGACTTTTTGTTGCAGTGAAACTTGAGCCCACAGTGAGGAAAGAAGTGACAGGAGCAAAAAAATGCCCAGAAACTCCTTAAAGTTCAGAGAGTTAATCAACTGGCAACGAGTCTGATAGTTGATTACAGTAATAATTTGCCCAATTTGTCGAGGAAAAACGGTTAAAACTTGCAGTTGTCTCCTTTGCTGCTTTTCCGTTTCACCACATGTCATCACAGAAATATCTGACAGACTAGCTACAGCCTGACTGCTCTACGTTAATTAGAAGTAGGTGTATTTCTGACTCGATGAGACAGACAGACGAGGACGCCGCCTGTCGCAGCAAATCAAACCCACCTGCTCCTCGGCTTCGAAGTCTGCATTGTACTGAGCCATGTCCTCAGGCGGCCTCTTCTGGACCAGACTGCGACACAGCAGCCAGATGGCCAAGCCGACCGCGAACATGCCGATGTCAGGGATGAACACTCGGATGCCGTTGCCTGCATCTGCCCCAATCACGCTGGGGACAAACAGAAAACAGAAGATACACACTGACAGAAAGCAGACGCTAGTTTTCCTCAAAGTGCGGCTGAATGTTAATGCCTCCAAAAAAAATTGTGATTTGGAGCAGTCTAGGATCGCAACCAAATGATGGAAATTGGGACGAGAGACAACACTTAACCGTCCATGGACAATCACTTCTAATATGAAACAGTTTTAGGGAGAAATCCAGAGACTTGTGGTTACTCGTTTAACTCGGCTTTGGCCGACGAATCGACGCGCTGTCCCGACTTTGAATCTGGATGAGATCGTCTGTCACATGTCCCTGTGTTTTGCCTTTTTAGACAGCAAGAAAACAGCCAAAATAAAAGTTGCAATATTCCTGCACACAATCTGTATCAGTCCAGCTGCTCTCATGAGAACAGATATAACTGCAGCAATTATATCTACTACCTGTTCACATGAATGCATGGGAATCTGGATTTTTGTTCCGTTACTCAACTGCTCTTTTAATATGTGTTGTGTTGAACGCTTCAGTTTTTATATGGAGTACCACCCTCTTTAATGAAATCAGGCTTGCCCGCTTTAAACGTATTGCTATTAACAAGTGAGTGAAATTCCATTCAAACGAAGAGGCCATGAGAGAGTGTGTTCTTTTCTTTTTTTTTACTGTGAAAAACATGTTTACTCCCTTGAAAACTGCATCTTTTGCTCATAATAAGGTAGCTGCACCTCTTTCATCTCACTTAAGCGAAGTAAAAAAGGACTTTATCTCAATTCTCCTCGTGCCAAATCCACTGCATTTATCACAGCTCTTGTCTTTTCCGTTAATTAACCGAAACGCGACATTGTTTGAAGTCTTGTAGTTACATCTCTGTGTGCAAACAGAGCTTTTGTGCCGTTTGCTATTCGATTAGTCCGCTCACCTCTGACTAAATACCAAAAGGTTTGCTCACGCAGGAAGCTAAACAGTGGCGGTGGACAGTTGCCATGACAGCTACAGTAGTCTCGGGCTTCAAATAATCCAGTGTTATGTATTTTTGCAGGCCAACGACAAGTTTTATGAGGTGTCATGATTGCATGTACAATTAAAGCAAATAAAATTGTCCTTGAAATGGCAAACAGGTTTTGCGAACCTTTAAAACTCTCTTTTATCATCCCAACCAATTTCTATTTCAGTTTTACAGCTGCATCCTGTGTTTGGCCACCAAAGTGTTTTCTTTACATTTCATGCTGAGCTCCAAGTGCAATTAAACTGTTTACAATACACAAAACGTACTGGGGATTCTCGCCGCGGAGAAAAGAGCTGACCAAATGTTTGGACGCCGTCATAAAAGAACCGGTCTCAAATAGAAGCAATCCCCGCTCTGGCCTTGAGTGGATCTAAAGCTTATAAAAGTTAACAAGTTGAAAACAGAGTGCTAATCATCGCGATGGAAAACGCACACTCGGATAAATAGTTGGGCCTTTGGCTGCTGCCGGAGAGTTTTATCTAATCAAGGACGTCTGTTTCCATGCGCTTTTATTGTTGCGAAGCTTCGTTCATCCTCACGTGGATGAAAGAGATGGAAACCGTCGGAGCCAAACGAGGTTGAGCCAGCGAACTCTAATGACTCCCACTTTCCCCTGCTTATCATATGAGGGAATTACAATAACATTAGCAGAGCTCGGACCTGTCTCCTGCCTCGGGCGGTAATTAGTCATATGGCTTTCGTGAAAAAAAAACGACAAACACAAAATATGTCCCGAACTGTATAAATATTTGGTATTAACAGGGATTTTAAAAGGTCACGCGAGAAGAAAGTGAAGCATCTGAGCAGCACACAACAGCTGCTTCAGACTCCTTTAACTCTGACTTGAGCATCTTCCTCCAAACAGGCAGTAAAAACGCAGCAAGTGCAGCTGTAAATGCGGTACGTATACTGTATACCATCCTCAACACAAACAGGTAAATGCAGGCGGGATAAAATGTTTATGGCTCCACTTCCGCCACTTACTGTATGCTATCCACTGAGGGCTGTTGAGTACTGGAAAAAGGACGTGGCTGAGTTTGGACATTCCCGTACTCAGGAAACCACATCTAATACGATCACGGGCGGAGGGATGCGAGGAGGCAGACGCGGCAGCAAAAGCTTTGAAAAATAGGCCTGTCAACGGATTGTCAGGCGTAACTGGGTTTGGCGCTCATCGAGAATCCGCACGGGGACAAGTTAGCAGCATTTACAAAGCTGGTCAGAGGACGAGCCGGTGTGGCTAAATGCAAGAAGTGGTGTTTAATGTTATTGCGGGGGGGGGGGGTTGCTATTTTTAGGACACTTTGCACAGTCAATGCAGCCTCCTACTTGTAAATGCAGTGGAAGATAAGAAGGAGTGATGCTTGACAGGTGAAATAAAAAGACACCATGACCCTGATGAAAGAAGCCTGACTGACTATTGTGTTGAGCAAATGCTGTCCCATCCCTGATCCTCCCTTTTACGAGTTCACAGTCACCGAGCTGAGGCCTGACAAAGCCTCTGAACTGCAAAACTGGAGGACGGATTCTTTTTATTGCATGATCGAGATGTGATGTAGAAACAGTTTTTGGGACCGATGCTTGAAGGAGTTTGTATTATTAACGCCACTGAGGTTGCCAAATGTCAAACGCATCGCCAAAATACACTCTAATATCATTATGAGTTAGTTTATTGAAGTGTAATCTTACCTCTCAAAGCCAATTTGTCTTATGGATTTCTCCCATGTGGAACCTGGACAGAAACATATGAAGACATTTAGTGAACAAGGATATTGTTTGACAAAGAAAAACATCTTAAAGGCTTCAGAAACTGTTTTAAATCACAGAGATTTAAAACAAACAGCAGTGTTAGAGGTATTCAGGCAAAAAGCAAGACTCCACAGAGCAAAACATTTACTGACTGCTGCTTATTGTTTACTATTATTAATGACTGTAAGATAAGAGCTACCACAGTGGGACAACTGAAGCTTATTTTTCTTAATCTGTCAATTACTCGATTAGTTGTTTGGTATATAAAAGGACAGAAGAAAAAAAAAAAAGAGAATGAGAGAGAGAAAGAAAAAATCAAATGTCCTATTTGGTCCACCACCCAAAGATATTCATTTTACTGTCATAAAAAGGTAAAGAAACTAAAAATATATCACATTTAAGAAGGTGGAATCAGAGAATTTAAACTTCTTTTTCCTCTAAAAAAAAAAAAAAATTACTAATTAATCAGCAAAATAATTCATAATAGTCGTTGCTCAAACCAAAACTAGAAAAAACCATTGAAAAAAATCTTATCAATAAAAGAATATTTTCCTTTTTTAGTTCAGTAAAACAACTTCTAAATCTAATTGTTAAAAACAAGCAGATAAATACATTGAGTTGGAGCTTTGTTGTTTGGTTGAAGTGTTCCTGAACGTCACTCCAGCACTCAGACAGACATTTCCAGGTATTCAAGTCACGTTACACGAACAACACGAAGGTTGTTTGGCTTTTGTTCTGCTGCCAGAGAAAAATAATAACATCACTTGTGACCTGAGGATCTCGACTCAATGACATACGAATGTGTCCGGCTGTGTTGTTGTTGTGTTAGGCGACTAATTAGGTGCTGAACTGTCGCGGGGCTGAAGTTTGTGGTTTGTGGTGTGCGGCGAGGAGAGCGAAGATGTGAAACTCGCTTTAACTCACCGCAGACGGCAGATAAAGTGCTTAATGTGGCTGATCTTATCTGCCGTGTCACCTGTGTGCAAATCACAGTGACTTTCAGGAGCCTGGGACGCTTCATTCATTTAATTTTTTTAAAACTTCACTTGCAAAGTGGAGAGAGAAACTGAGCAATTGCTTTGGGATGATGGTTCGACATCTCTAATATATAGAGGACTTACAATATTTTTTATTTTTGCTTCTAATATTATTATCATTTGTTGTTTTATAAGACACGATATGTTTTAACCTGATCCATCTCGATTTGCAAATACAGGATAATATGTGCACTGAAAAGCAGAGGAGATGCAAAGACAAGAATAAACCAAAAATCCTTGAGAATTTCCTTACAAGTAGCACACAAAACAAATATCCAGTAAACACATGATTCATTTGTTTGTCACTTCCTAGAAACAGGAAACTCTGAGTTCCATAAAATGATCATGCACTGCTGGTGCTGCCTCTCTTTTCTTTAACTTATTTAAAAGCAGTAAAACGCTGGAACTTTAAAGTCACACATTGTGAAATGTCTCATTTTTTAATATACGTATTTACATCATATACAGTTCTTGTTTTGTTTGTGTTGTGTTTAAACAGACGACATGTAAATAAATACTCTGTGGTTTCACTACATAGCATCTGTAATGTGACATATCAGGAAAATCTGTAATATATATATGGTTTCACTACATAGCATCTGTAATGTGACATATCAGGAAAATCTGTAATATATATATATATATATATATATATATATATATGAATGAATTTTTTTTATCCTTGATAAAAAATATTTTTCTTACAGATAACAGCAAATATCTGTACAATAACTGTATTTTTGCTGATTTAAATAAAGTAAAAATTTTGCTTTTTGTTTGTTTTTTACAGTTAAATGTTTTAAAAGAACAAATTATCATTTATGAAAAAATTGACTTTTTATGTAGACATTTACAAACATTTATTTTTTTCTATTTTATCTTTTTTATCCATCCTATAATTAGATTTATATTGTTTGGCATCCGTTGTGAACAGCAAAGAAAGAACTACATAACACGAGGAAACATGCTTCCTTACTGTCCTTATGACAATAAACACTTTTAGTTTTTTTTTTGTTTTATTACAGGTAACGTGCAAGACATTTTTCATTTTATATTATTTTTTAATATTCTAATTTTTTTTTTAAATTACAGTAAAAACCGGTTTTAAATGTTTGTTGTTGTTTTTCTTTGCAGTGTACCTCTATCCATGGTTGTTTCCATTGAGGTGAATGTAAATGTAAACTGATTTTACACATAAATATAAGAAATTCTGGTTCAGGTAGACGCAGAAGAGAAATCAGGTCAGTGAGGATGTACAACACAAACTGATGAGATACCAAACAAAGGCAAGGCAGGTTTATTTGTATAGCACAATTCGTAGCCGAGGTAATTGAAAGCGCTTCACACAAAAAGACAAAAACATGTGTGATGGGAGGAGACCACATGACTAACCTCTGACATAACCTCTGACATCAAACAGTCCAACTCAACTGTTAACACTCATTTGTCCACCTCCACACAGATACTCCCACTTTAAAGAGCTCAGTGATGGAGGACAGACGGAGCGATGATGGATGGTCGGCATTAAAAGCTATCCCATCGAAAAAGGATAAAATATCACCTCGATTGACCTCCTTCTTCTCTTTTGGTCCATGTTTTCTGCTGTTACACAGCCAGACAAAGAGCTGAAAGTCTTGGAACAAGCAAAAACTACTGAAATTATGGGATTTAAACAAATTAGGAAAACACAATTTTCTACTTAGCACAAATAAACAATCGTGCTATTTGGCGGTAGGTAGTGCTGCAGCTAATGATTGTTTCCATTCTCAATTAAATGATTAGTTGTTTGGTCTATTTAATGTCAGAAAATGGTGAAAATGTCATTTAGTGTTTCCCAAAGAATGAAAAAAGTCTTGTTTAGTCCACAACATGGAGATAATCTGTGGACTGTCAGAGAGGAGAACATAAAGCAGGAGGCTGGAATCAGAGAATTTAGACTTTTCTATTAATAAAAAAATAAAAAAATAAATAAATACTACCCGATGACTCAACTACAAAACAGATGGTGAGTTCTGTAATAGTTGACAACTGATCGATTAAATGATGAATTGTTGCAGCTCCAGGTTTGCAGTTTTTGCTCCGGGATACCTTCACATGTGGACACAAAGGAACAAGGAATTCAACAACAAAACAAATAAGCTGTCAGCGCGCTTCACCACCTCAGAGGGCCGAGAAAAAATATTGTTGAAACATTTGCTTGCGACTCATAAAACTAAGAGCTTTCTTTTTTTTTTTTTTTTAAACTTAACATTTATTCAGATGGCCTGCAAGGTGGAGCAGTGGTTAGCACCGCTGCCTCACAGCAAGATGGTCGCCGGTTCGCGTCCCGGTGAGGACACCTGGGATCTTTCTGCATGGAGTTTGCATGTTCTCCCTGTGCAGCGTGGGTTCTCTCCGGGTTCTCTCCAACCGTACATTGCATGATTAGTCTGACCATCATATGAAACTGTGTGAAACAGGGATTGAAACGATGACGGTCAGCTGCACTTGGACTATTCTGACTGCGGCTGGACATTTACGGTCGACTGATGTTTGCTTGTCATTACATGGATATTAAAAAAAAAATGGCTGGGGTGTCTGAAGTCAAACACCAGCAGCAACACAGACGCTACAGCTGCAGACACCACGGCGACCACA